CAGGTACAGGGCATCTGTTCTGTATCTTTTACAAATTTCTCTTGAGATGCATATTTAGCCTTTTGTTTTCTTTAGCTGCTAGGTCAATTGAAATGCATATATAGCTTCCTTGTTGCAGGGGTTTAGGTTGTAGCCGTGTTGGTCTAAGGATATAGGCAGACAAGGTTCCTTGGGTGAATTTGATATCTTTTATTAGACCAACCCAAATGGTTGGAGAATAGTTATTAAGCAAGCTTTCGGGTTCAAAAACCCTTCGTCAGGCTCAGGAAGGTGCAGGAAGAGCACACACCAACTGCTGCAGCTTCCTGAGCCTGACAAAGGGTTTTTGAACCCGAAAGCTTGCTTAATAACTATTCTCCAACCATTTGGGTTGGTCTAATAAAAGATATCAAATTCACCCAAGGAACCTTGTCTGCCTATATAGCTTCCTTGCCTTTACTGGCTTCTGAGACACACATGTGATGAGCATGTCAGTTCTCTGTTGACCATTTTCTTGATTTGACATAATCTAGCACAGAGAATAAATCCAATTGGGGTTGCTCTATTTTGTATGGTTCCAGCTGCCACTTTCATTTTTGTGCAAGATGCACTGTTATTTTAATTTGGTCATAAAGATTTTATGTCTAGGCCTAGCCAAGCTGTTACTGTTTTCACCATCAACAGTCTTATCATTTTGGAAGCTACAGAGCGTCATGTTGATCTCCTCCAGCATCCACTCCTCTACTAGCCTCTGTCCCTCGTCCTCCCCAAGGACCCTCATGACCCTCCGCAGGAAGTCCTGCATTGCCCCAGGGTCCTCCAGTCGTGCTGTATAGAGCTCTCAGTAGAATGCTGCTGCCATCTCCAGCATCCCCTCATTTGACCAATGCTCCACTCAGTCTCCATCTACCAGGCTGGTCATTGTTTTTTTTTATGGTTTCCTTTATCTTGCTAAAATAAATAGACCATTCCTCCCCATCCTCCACCCGGGAGGCCCGGGCCAAGAAGATCTTCCTACCCTGTTCCCTGTACCAGGCCCCCATCTTGGATTTCACCTCCCTCATAGCCTCCCTCACGTCCCAACCCCAAGCTGTCTGTTTGTGCAGGCTCTGTAGTTTGTGATTGAGGTATTCTTGCTGCCTTCTCTAGAACCAGGTTTGTCTCCTTCCAGCTTTCCAGAAGTCCCTCATTCTCTCTTTGATGCTAGCCCACCATTCTGTGTGGTTCCGGTATCTGAATCTGAGGGTTTTCCATCCTGCATGGTGCTGCCTGAACTCCCGCTGTATCTTCTCATCTTCCAGCAAAGTCACATTCACTTTCCACATGCCCTTGCCTCTCTTCGGCTGCTCCCCCATTTCTACTTTAACTGTTAGGAGGCAGTGGTCCAAGAAGCAGACCGGTGTGGATTTGGCCTTGGCTACCTTCCACCCTTTTGGGAGGGAGATGAAATCTATGTGTGATTTGGACTGCCCTAGAGGGTCTACTTGGGTGAAATTGCCGCCTGGACCTGTGGCCTCTTTGCCTGCATCCACCAGGCTGTGTTCACAGATGAGCTGCTGCAGCAGCTTGGAGGATGGGTCCAGTCCTTTCATTTGGCCTCTGCTTATTTTGTCACCCACCTCAAGGAAGCAGTTCATGTCGCTCATGATCATCGCTGGCCAGCCACTGGGCACCACTACCACCATGTTATTGAGGAAAGCATGTTTTGATGTCCTATTTGCTGGTGCATGTGCATTCAGAAGCTCAAAAGTCCCTTCTTCTATTTCCAGGATGACTTGTAGCAACCTACCTGCAATGATTTCTCTGTGCTGCAGGGGCCACACTCTGTCTGCCTCCAAAAGCACTGTGACCCCTGCTGCCTGGTCATCACTGTCAGACCAAAAGGAGGGACCACATTGCCATCTCTTCTTGAAATCAACACAGCCCCTACAAGTACAAACTATGCATGATCTTTAGCCTAAAGTCCAAAGGTGTATGGTTTACTATATTGTTCACTGGGCTGGGCCCCAGCAGTCAGCAGCATTTCAAGCCATGGTGATCCCATAGTTTAGCACTGCTCAGTATGTATGTGTACTCCAGATTCCCCCCCACAAAGGATCCATATGTTAATTAGCCCTCCACTCATGACTGGAACTGGGTGTTCTTGTCATGAACCCTGAGATCCTCCAAAATTGATATGCAGATAAGGTGCAGGACAACCTGGTCTGGCTCTGCTTCATGGAGTGTGAGGCCACACTAATCATTTGTGACAGGCTGAGAGAGGGGGTGGCAGAGGGATTCTGGATGAACTGTTTGGAGCCCTATTTGGTGATGTTTGCCAGACATTTAAGGCTGGTAAAGAGAGAAGAAATGGGAAAGAAAGGCACAGCTCAGCTATAGGAGTGAAAACAAAGTTGAAATTGAATCAATATCACGGCACACCTTGACTTGATGAAGAGCCAGTGCTGAAGGGGGCTTTGCACAATGGGTACTATTCTGTCTTATTCAGATGGGCTGCACTAGCCTGTTTTTGTGGTGGGTGCCCAATATGGGTTTTGTGTTTTATAGTCATACTCGATGTTGGCTGCATTTAATCAACTTCTTAGTTAGTTTCCATTACTGAGTACATGCTGCTTTTGGCAGCAGCTTATTGATAGACAATGTATTTGGTGAGATTTCCCTGTATGCAGATATAAGATGAAGGGCTTTTTTTCACCATGTTGATTGGGGGAAGAAACCTCATCTTGTATTCAAGTAAATACATTATTTCTTATTTACTAGTTGATTAATTTTTTGCTTATATTTGTATTAAGCTGCATTAAGATGTCACCTTGAATTTAATTAAACACCAGACCAATGCTTCAAGTGTATTAAACAAGTAATGTTTTTTGCATGCTGTTCAATTTCCTTCTCATACACTGTATCCAGAAGCCTTCCAGCAATATCTGTTCTCCTAGTCATAATGCTTGAACTATATCAGTGAAATATTTGTTCTGAACAAGACAAGAGAAAAATGTGTTGTATAAATGAACTGAGCAATTCTTTAATCTACGTTGGCTTGCTGGATTTTTCTGTTCCTGTTTATGAACTCATTTATAATTTTACTGGATAATAAAAAACGTCTCTTTTTGGATACAAGGTATTCACTCTGGGCACATCTACATGTTCATTAAAGAGCAGTAGTTACTGTGTAAGTAGTTTAGTACTTGCTTAATGAAGTACTAACTGCTAGCTACTTCAGTAGCACTGGTGAACGGGTATTTTTGTGATGCTTACTGCGCAGTAACACTGCTTACTGCGCTAATAACACTCCACAGTAGCTTTTTAGCATGGTTTTTGACCAGTTTGCTACTGTGCGGTGTTATTAGCCAACCATGGCATAAGTGTCTCATGTAGATGTGCCTTGTCTGACATATATTTAGTTGCAGTACTGCTAGTGATACCAGTACATGATTCTAAAGTTGCAGACATTGCAGATTATGGATGTTCATAATTTCTTACATCTAAGCTGGATCCAGAAACAAAGTGGTTAAAAAGTCACTCACACTGAGCACATTTACATGTACAATTAATGTATTCCACAGTGCACAGTGGCGATGCATAGGGGATACACTTAGACTATGGGCAGGGTGGGGCAGGCAGGCGTGCCGGTAACAACCAGCCACCTCACAATTGGCTACGGGGGACCACTCCGCCTGGCCAGCAAGATTGGCCCCAGGGCACCTCCATCAGGAGCAAATTGAGCTCAACAGGAGCAGCCCAGTCAAGGGCTGCTCCTGCCCTGCTCTGCCCCACTTCAACAGCCAGGAAGAGCCCCAGGCTCCCCCCAGTGCCAGACCCAGCTAACAGGGAGCATGAGAGCTTAGCTCTGAGCTCCAGAGGGTGGGTGGATCTGTCCCAGCTGGTAGACAGTTCCATCCCAGCCAGGGGGAGATCATGCTGACCCATGGGGGAGGGAGTAGAGGACACACCCATCCTGATCTCCATAGAGCAGGAACAGCTGTCCTGGCTGCTGGGACATCTGCCTCCCAGTCACATGCAGATTGGGACCTGATCTCCATGGGGCAGGGAGAGCTGTCCCTGCTCCTAGGCAGCTGCCTCCCAGCCACATGGAGATCAGGCTGGGACAGTTCTCCTAGCAGCTACATATCACTTCTGAGTAATGCCCTAGTTTTGCATTGATATTCTCTCTCAAGACTCTATCTCTTACTGTGTGTGATTGGCACAGATTTTGCAAACTGGCTGGTCAGATCTGACATTCTTTGTTTGAAATTAGAGTTTTCCTTCTAGCAGGGGTGACGTGCATGGGGGGGGGGTGTACGCGGGTGCACATGCATCCCCTGAGTGTTGCAGTGTACCCCCTACAAAAAGGCACCACTGACACTGTCAGCAGCACCTGTGGGCAGCCACCACTTGCCACCCTGCCTCTGACACTGCTGACTTGTCCCCAAATCCACCTCAGTCATAAATTCTACCTTTTAAAAAAAAGACAGGAGAAATCTCTTTTTCAATTTTTTCCTCTGTTCATCAAAAAACTGCATGAAAAAAGAGAGTTCTAAATAGACCTTGAATCTGGTTGCAGAACACCAACCACAGTTTTGTTTAGCAATTGTACAAAGCCAAAACATAACGTTTTAGTGAATAACTGTATCATATTATGTCATTTTAGCTGTAAGGAATCACTTCAATCCAAAATTTGTCTGAGATCACTGTGTGAAAATGGTGTAGGCTGACTTAAGTGGTTCACCAGTTTTTCATTTTTTTTTCACTTATTCTCTTTTGCTCTGTATTTTCTTCCCTAGGCGATTGAAAAGTTCACTGGGAGACAGGAGTGATTTTTTCTTTAATGAAGGAATGAGGAAAGAGCCACCTATGAAATAGAGTTCTGGAGCCTTCGCTGATAGTCATATTTTTGTTGTATGGTTATTTTAAAAAGTCTCCCTGAGCAGGAGTTATGAACCTTTTCATGTTTTGTTATAAATTAAATGACTTTATTCAATGTTGTTAATATTCACGTGGTTTTGTTTGTCGTTTTTTGACAGAAGGAAGCATCCCCTTGCTACTTGCTTTCTGTAAGGATCATGAGAATGAGGAACGTTCCTCAGAAAGATATCTGTGAGTACTTGCAGTGTTAGTGGCTCCTCATAGCTTTAAAATTAGTGAGCATGACTGAACAATAAGGACAATTTGCGTTAGAGGTAAAAAATTTCAGGAATGAATTTAACTTCATAACTGTCATTCCACTGACTTGATTTTAGCAATGAACTTGACTGTGTGTGTGCTGTAAAATGAGTTATTCTGTTTATGAGGCTATCCAATGCATCTGGTTTATTTTCAGAAGATATATTTATGGTCCAAGTCCCATATGTACAAATAATTATACAGTTGTCCAAATATGGTAGAAATATAAGAAAGATACATGGCACATGGAAAGAGCACAGCAGCAGAATATTCAAGGCATCTCACTATAGCTCCAAAAGTGTAAGTTTAAGCTTCACTGTGAACGCACATCAAAAGCTACTCCCAGCTAACAGACAGTAAATTCAAGTGGGGTGGTAAAAAGCATCCAGGCATTGTATTAACCACAGCACTCCTTTGTTTAATATTGCGTGCATAAATTGGTATGCTTTAAGCTCACAAGGGCAATGGGCAATAGGTTCAGACATTCCTTTGTCCTTTTTGGTATGGCATAGTGAAGAATATCTGGACTTCAATACATGTTCAGAGTATTGTCAAACTATAATCAGATAATCAAATTACTATTATTGTCAATATTGTTATTGTTATTTATATTGTGATAGTGCCTAGTTGTGGCAGTCATGAGCCAGGACCACACAGTACCAGGCATTGTATAAACACAGAACAAAGAAAAAAACCTTACCCAAAGAGTTTGCAATCTAATCCAAACACTGGGAATTGTTGCTAGAGGATCTTCTACCACAGTATATCTGTCATCCTCTCAGATGTCACTATCTTACCCTTCAAAATAAGTAAACTGAAATACTTTGAAGAGCCTAAATTCTTGCCCCTTTACACCTTTTTGGCAGGTCAAAGTGTGTATAAATTATACTTGCCTTTTTACCTCAATGCAAGTGAACTTAGTGTCCTGAGAGGCTATACAGAATCACAGGATCTTACTGCTTTTAGCCTTTTATGTAGATAATAGCCTATAGTGAGGCATAGCTTCTAGTAGAGTGGTTTTCAACCTGTGGACTGTGGACGCCTGGGGGGTCCACAAACTATGTCTAAGGGGTCTGTAAAAGATCACTATGATCAATCAAAAGTATGTGAATACCCACACTTACAATGCAAAGGCACCCACACCTCCATACAAAATTTCCAAAGGGGTCCACACCTCCATCTGAAATTTTTTAGGGACCTACAAATGAAAGAAGATTGAAAACCACTGCTCTAGCATTTACCTTGATTATTTAGAAAATTCATTCATACCCATTGTCAAACTAAACATTTATGTGTAGCTTGGCACCCCATGAAAGATTAGCTTTCTGTTGCTATTTCTCACTAATTATGGTATATTATTACTAACATGTAGTAAGTTTTTGCCACATCTTCTAACTTCGCTTTTTTCCTTTAGTTCAGCCATCTGTCTGTCTGTCTGTCTGTCTGTCTTTAGTAAATAAAGTTTAAAGATATTTTGTAAGGAGGCTAAATGTTGCTTTCACTCACAAGTAACATAGCAACCCAGTTGTTCCTTCAGAATGGAAGAATGGGAGAAGTTTTGCATAAACAAGTCAAAATGGTTTAGATTAGAGTGATTTAGTCCAAACACCTGAAGTTTGTGGGGGCCAGGAAGCTCATCTAAACATTTGTCAAGGTTGAACTAAAGTTAAATAGCTGTATTTGTGTTTGGTGTGTTGACAGACTGTGTAGCGATATTAAAACAGGGCATTGTAATATCTTAGTAATGAAACAGCCATCTATAATAAGCTATGCATTGAATAGGTGGTAATTAGGTACAAATTAGTTGTACAATAGGGCTTTGAGTCTAAGTTCAAGGACAAGCCCTGGCTATGACTTGAACTTACAAGCACTATTACTTGGACAGAAGAAACAAATAGTGACAATCATGTGAGATCTGTTATTTTTGTAAGGTTTCAGACCAGATTGTTGGGCTATGAAATGGAACTGGAAAATAGACCTCTTATGGTCATGAATCCAGCTCAGAACCCAAATGAAGGGCAAGTTTCAGTTGAACTCACTCACACGTCTGAATTTCAAGGGAGTTCCTGGCACCTTCAAAAAACCACTCTACAGGTTTATGCTACAAGTGGGAAAATAGCTTCCATTTTGAAGCATGACTGGTGGGTGGGAGATATAAAACCTACTGCCCTTTTCCTGAACAGGCCTTTTTGATGGGGAATTGACATGTTTGAGGTATTCAGAGGGCAGGGAGTTGTACCAATAGATGGGCCTGTTTGGTCATTTATCTCAAACAGAACATGAATTCTCTTGAGACTTGTGTCCCAGACAGTTCTATATACTGAAGGCCTCATCCTTTGTCATTCACTGTTGATCTGAACTGGTGTGAAAGTAGACTCGGACCCAGAATTTTTAAGCATATGAAGGTTATACACACTCCAGTTCCTCAGAAAGCATACATCATAGTTAGTAATGGTGAACTTTGGTGGGGGGAGGGTAAAATCCAGAATTTAGTGCATGGGAAACTTACAAAGTCCTTATGCATCAAATCAGACATTTGAAAATCCCTTTGGGAAAAATAAAACCTTAGGCTCCCCCTCCAACTTGTCTTCAATTTTACCGGCTGCATAGATAGTTCTAAAAGAATTGGAAGCTCTTCCCCAAGCTGGTGTTTACCAGCCTCCTTCCCACAGAACAGGGGCCGTTGTCTTTTTAAGGCTTTTAAGATTTTTTAAGTATGCCCCACCTCCCATTCCTGTGCCAGGGTACTTGGAGAGGCTAATCCAGGGGGATGCAGTGGTGAAGTTACACCTCCCTTTGATACCTGGTCTAACCATAGTTTAAAATCAACTGCCTGGCAATGGCAACAGCATTCCTATTTAGGCAGAAGTGAGGGAATTAATTTTCTTCATGGTTCATTATAATCTACCCCATTTCTTCATTCCATAAGTGCTAACGACCAACTCTCCTTTTTAATGTTTTTTATGTTGCACTAATCAAGTTATCCTTTTTCCTGCAATTCTCCTGTCTCTTAGCTGACTCTGGTAATGCAGCTCCTATTTCACAGCCCTACAGACTGTATTTAACACTAGCTAAAAACATTTACTCAGGTGTGGCAAAGTTAACTAGGGTGACTCACCCTACACACAGTAACTCAGATGTGGAAATAACTTTCAGTGAAGCACTGGAAGCACTGTTAAGATGCTCAAGAAAGTTAAACTGAAAAATATGGGCCCCTAGCTTTTAGTAAAGCTTCTTTTTTAACTGTATTGTGTTAAATGTGATGAGGCACCACACCATCTGTACTACTCCTTTATGAAATCCTAGATCCTCCCATGGTTGTTTGAGAGACTGGTGAGATAACGTGGAAACTACTAGGCCTGTGCGAGTCGGCAGCTATTTGATCCGGCTTCAGATCCAGCTGCTTTAGATGCCAGGGATCCGATCCGGAGCTCTGGACCGGGTTTCCACTTTGATCTGGCTGAAGTGGCTCCAAAGCTTCAGAGCCACCTCAGAGATCAGGCCATAGGGTATAATGGGGAATCAATGAAATATCTATACCTTTTTTGTTTTTTATCTGATTTGGATTAAACTTGCAGGTGCTAGCCTCTGCTGAGAGCATAAAGCCTGCCAAGTTTCAAGAGTATCGGTGCAGGGGTTTGTAGGGAACTGCACCCCAAATTCTTGAAAGAAAAACTCATATCACGTCTATTTGTTACACCACAGTGGGGTGAAAACCACAGGGTTGGTAGCCTCTGGTGAGGCCACAAACCCTGCCAAGGTTCAAGAAGATTGGTGCAGGCATTTGGGAGGAACTGCACCTCAAGCTGCTGACAGGCAAAACTCGTGACATAAATGACCCTGTGTGCATTAAGGCGCAACGGACTGAAAACTGCAGGGTTGGTGGCAAATTTCATCCAAATCAGACAAAAAACAACAAAGTTATAGATATTTCATTGATTCCCCATTATACCCTGTGGCTGGATCTCCGAAGCGGCTCCAAAGCACTTTGGAAGCTCCAAACTGCTTCTGAAAGCCTAAAGAAGCCGGTGCTTCGATCCGGACATGCTGCTTCAGAAGCGTCTGAAGCTTCTCTGTATCCGAAGCATGGTCCAAAGCCTCGCACGGCCCTAGAAACTACATTGTTTGCTTGAAAGCCTGCCAAGAAACCATGCCTTTTCAGAGGACATTTTAGTTTGATTGAATGCATTTTCTACTGGAAGACCATTCTGCAATAGCAAATTTCTGGCTGGATCTAGTTATTTTACTCCCTTTGCAGTTTTCAGAACAGCAACTTCATTCACTATGAGCTTGCTGATCAGATTAACAGAAATATTCAGTGTACAACAGTTTTACAATGTGGAAAACAGTACATTATTGCACAAAAGATTGAATTATGTTTTTTAATAGTCATCTTATTAATGCAGCTTTTCCCTGCTACTCTGTAGCTGTGGAGCAGTAGGCACATGCTAAGTCCTGTATTTCCTTTAAGCATGAATTTTTATGTCTGTGATCTTTGCTCTATTAGGTAGAGCAAATAGCAAGATAAAAACAACGAGTAACCAAATAACACTAAGGGACTGCACAAAGATGCTATGATTAAGCACAGCTTTACTGTAGAACATTTATCCTCTGTGTTGAAGACATTCCAAATAAATCATTGCATAACATATTTCTAATGGGCAAACACAAGAGAGGAATGATGTCATGTTGTGCTTTTGGTTAAGACACTGGATTGGGACTCTGGAGATCTAGCTAGATTTCTAGCTCTGTCACAAACTTCTCTTTTGATGTTGGGCAACTCATTTGAGCTCTGTTTCTCAGTTCTCCCTGTAAATGTGGAAAATAATATTCTCTCTCTCACAAAATGTGTTTGTCATGTCAATTAGATCTTATATTATAAGATGTGTGGGACAGAGACCATCTTTTACTATGTTTTGTAATGGGTCTAGCACAATCAATCAGCTCTGCTACAGTACCCTGTGGTGCCACGAGAACCTTTTAAAGTACCATGGGGTGCCATGCAATATTAGCACTGGTCAACACCCTAGATCCATGGAGACCAGTCCAAGACCTCCACAGGCAGGGCACATTCAGCCTGCAGATGGGATGGTACCATAGGCAGGTGGAGAGTGGCATCCAGGATAGGTGGGCAGGGCTGGGTCTGGGATCATGAGGCGGTGATAGTGCTGGGCTGGGGCACAGGACAGAGCCACAATCTACTCTCCACATGGCCCCATGCTGTCACCACCCCAGACTCTGCCCCACCAGCCATTCCCGCTACTGGATACCACTCCCCACCCACCCATGGCTGCATCCAATCCACCCAGCCAAGTGTGCCCTACCCACAGGGGTCCCAGGCCAGTCTCCATGGAGACCCCACCCACCTACTCCATCTAGTGCACCTGGTTTTGGGTGCAGGGCAGATAGGCAAGGTGACTGGGCAGTGGGTCTGGGTCTCATGGCAGCAGTGACAATGGCAGCAGCAGCTAGAAGGGGCCACCGCTGCTGGGGCTTCTAGGAAATTGAGTCTGGTCACTGCACTGCACCCATCCCACCATGCACCTCAGGGCAGTGGGACTGGCTACATGTGCCATGGCCCAAACTGCCCCCTGTGTCTGGGTTGGGCAGGGCCAAGGGACCCACCATGGGCTGGATAAAATCCCTTGGTGGGCTGGATCCAGCCTGTGGGTTGTATTTTGCCCACCCCTGACCTACATGATTCACAAAATAAACCCAGAGATTACAAATTGGAATCCATAGAATCTAAAACACTGGGATGTGTTATGGTATCTCTTAGTTCACTGCCACAGCAGAATTGTATACTCTCACCAGGCTGCCTCGGAGAGTCAATGAGTTTGCTACACAACTGCTGAAAAAAGGAGGGAAAG